TTGAATTATTTTAGTCCTTAATATATACCATTTGATTGAAATAGTCCTTAATGTATGTAAAATGAGTATCGTTTTGATCTTGAGCCTTAAATTTGATTATTCTCGGTTAAAAACTAACATCCCTCCCCAAAACTTATCTCTCTCTTCTCCCAGTACTAGTATGCTCTGCCTCCCTTTCAATTTCTCTCTTTAACTGAATCCTCTTCCTAAAATATATATTTTTTTCATTATTTCATCTTCAACTTTCTTCTCTTTTGTGTTAATTAATCCCAAATATAGATAAATTTTACATTCATATTAGTTTTTTGCTATTTTTTCACTATCAACTCTTCATCTTCTTTTAGAAAAAATTGATGGTACTTAATTATTTGAGTTGTTTGTTCAATTTTCTGTTAATAATATGAATGACTATATTTTAGTTGAATCCAAAAAAAAAAAATTAGAAAGAGTTATTCCTTCGAGGACGATACACAAAATAAAATTTGAAATATAATGTTACAGAGCAGTAGCATATCCATGCTTATGGATAATATACACACATAAAAAATTCTCTATTATTTATTACTATTAATTTATAATCTCTTCTGGGTGAATTGAATGATTTTTGGATTGGATTAGCTAGTGGGTTAATTTAACGAAAAATGAAATCAATAGGTGTGCTTTTTCTTTTTGCCCCTTCACTGAGTCTAGTGTATTTTCCAGTTGTACCAAAAGCAAGAAATTACTTAAACAAAGAAGAAAAAATTGGGTTGCAAAAGTTATGTGTGAGCTTGAATAGGCATCAATATATATGCGATGGACTAAGATCCTCTTATTCAAAAAGAATATGCAGTAAAGAACCAGAGAGGAGTGGGAAAGGAGAGAAGAGAGATGAGTTTGGGGAGGAGACGTTAGTTTTTAACGGAGAATAGTTATTTTAAGGACTATTTTGATCATTTTCTCTAAGTATTACACTTTTTGTTCTTTTCTGATTTTCTAAAGGTCCCCAACATATCGTTAATGTTGAAATATACATTGTTACCAATTCTAAAAATTATTACCAAACTCAAAGACAAAAAACTACAAGGATAATACAACGACTAATAATATGGAGAAATAAGTGAGGAAACACTTAACTATCTAACTTACCTTCTACCCAAATTTGTGACCTCCATAACCCCTATCTAAGGTCATGTCCTCGGTAAGATTAAGTTGCGACAAATCATGTCTAATCACATCTCCCTAATGTTTCATTCGCCTACCCCTACTCTCTTGAAACCATTCATAGCCAACCTCTCACACTTCTGCACTAAATCATATGTGCATCTTCTTTGTATGTGTCTGAACCATCACAACCTCATGTAATGACCCTGCAGGTCATTTTTTAAAACTTTTTGTCACGACCCAGGAGTACCCCCTAGATGTAACATGGCGTATAGAACCCTAAAGGACTCCATACAAGCCACTTATCATATCATAACATAAAGTAATAAAACAATAAAGAGTAAAACAACATTTAAGTCCAAAACAGTTTTATAGAAAAAGCAGAAGTCTAATTGATGTCTTAACATAGTCATATATTACAATCGAATGAGAGTGGCCCTAACCCATACATCATATTCAAAAAAGAAAATACGAAAGAGAAACTAGAATAAGGAAAGTATGTCCTCGAACCATGAGGACTCACCAAGCTCGGAAAGAATCAAAGTCCAAGCTCTAGCCACTAAAATAGGAACCCTGCCTGTCGGACCCTACATTTGAGAAAAATGTAGGCAAGAGTATGCATTAGTACAAAAATGCACCAAGTATGATAGCTATGCATAAAAATATTTAAAACAAGCTAGGAAGGACATAACATTTCATGACATGCAATTGACCAATTAAAACATGATATAAGAGGGTTAGAAAACATAAGTCATAACATCATGGTCAATGCAAGCTAAATCATTTTTTAAGCCTTTGAACACATAAGAGATACTTCTTTAAGTAACCTTAGTTAATTAATCATCTTGTCGTGGGAAAATTAGCCTTAACCGACATAGAGACCATGTGAGCTAAAACATGATCACCCGGTGTCTCCCACACCGAGAAGGGTTGTTCTACTTGCCTAAGGTAGAACCATGAACTTCTAGCTTAAATGGATTCACTAGCTAATCATCCTATGAGGGCAAATAGTTTATGGGATAAGGAGATTGTTACTAGAAACCCGGCCTCTACTAACGGGAGAGCTTCTATAACAATGTCAATATCCATATGGTGCTAAGCATAATTCCCACGGAATATTATTTTCTAACTTGTTCTCATTATCCATGGAAAGACATGTCATCTTGTCAATTCAAGCTAGTTAATTAGGATAGCTCTTATTCATTGATTCGATTAGGTGAGAATAGCCTTTCAACCTAAGAATCCTTTCTATGTGAGAAAACCTTTCACATCATGGTTGCAAGTGTTTTTATCAGAATAACCTTTCAACAACCCAACAACAACAACAACAACAAAAACAACAACAACATTGGCACTTCACTCTCAAAGCACCCTTACAACATTTACATAGTTTCCATAAGATCATGCATAAACTCATACTATGCCCTTTCAAGGTTCAAAGTTTGTTTTCAATCACCAAAATCTAAAATTCAAACATTAGATAGGGATTTTATCATAAAATTCATGTAATTCTATTACTTCATGCTTTAGATCATAAAAACTCCTCTTTCATAATCAACAACCCACATTATGAGATCACAATTTGGAAAGCATAGGGGCTTGCATGGGTTCAAAGGTGAAACATCATTAAAGCATTCTAAATCATCAATTCATGCATATTTAAACATAATTAAATACATTAAGATCAATAAACAAAAGAACCCATGGTGATTGAAGAAAACCCTAGCTAATTGGGGAATTCTACCATTTGACATAGGGGAATTTGGGGACTTTTATGAATGAAAGAGATTCATGGATGAAAACTACCATACCTCAAGTCCAATTGCTTATCTTCAATGGAGAATTTGGATCCTTAGTTTGAAACCCTAGGTGAAATCTTCTTCTTCAAGTTCTAAAGAGAGAATAGTTGGGAGGAGTTGGTTTTTCTTTTGGGAATTTGGAAGATTGATTGAAATGGGGTGAATTTTAGGGTAAAAATACTTATATAGGGGTTCTAAATATAGGAAAAACGACATAGTATAGGAACTAATTAGTTAGAAAAATACCCAACTGCCCCTGAGTAAACTATCAGTGTCACCGACCTACCAGCCGACAAACCCAGTCGACGGACCGTGGATGGACCTACGGTCCGTCCTGGTGAACCGTGGCTGGTGGTCAGAGACTTTTGTCTTGACCTACGGTTCCTGGACCACGGGTCGTGGACCCACCTACGGTTCGTAGGTCCAACCATGATCCATGCCTGAACAATTCCTGAGGCACCCATCCATGGACTCACCAATAGTCCGTGGCCCACACCAGGGGACGTGGTTGGCCCTCGTGGATGGCACCTGGTTGTTTTGAAATCTGTTAAGGTTTCCTCTTTCGGATACGGGGTGTTACACTTTTGGAATAATTATCATTTTGCCCCTCTCGATAGTTTTCCCAAGTCATGCTTTTCAGTTTATGAAGTTGGTTTTAAAATTGGATTGGAAAGTTGAGACTTTTGGAAGTTTTAGAGTTTTGGACACCTCAAGTTGTTAAAAGTGGTTTTTGACAACAATCGAAACTATGAGTCTCGAAAGGGTCTTTAGTCTGTTCCATCAGCTCCAGAATGCGGAGTTTGGTCTAGAAGTATAGGTTTTTTCAATTACGGAGTCATTTTCGTTGATTTGAGCCCTTGAGTTGGAGGTTTAAGTATAATTAGGCCAAGAGTTGACTTTGGTCAACATTCGGAGTTTGAACGCTAGGATTGGAATTTTGATGACACCATTGGATTCAGGGGATGATTTTAGTCCTACGTGAGGTCTTGGTTGAGTTTTCAGATGTTCCGAGGGCAGTTTAGTGTTTTTGAGTAAAAGTCAGTTTATTGCAACTTAAACGGATACTGGGTCAAAGAGACTTCTTATTTGTGTTCCGACGTCCATTGAGTCTGGAACGTCGAGTTTGGTTGGGTAGCATATCTGGTTTGTGTGTGCGAAATTCCAAACGAATCCCGAAGGTTCATTAGGTGATTTTGTTGAGTCTTGGTGTTTGTTGATGTGTTGTAACTGATGCATATTAAGTAATCTTTGCGATCGTGAGGCTCTTGGTCGCTGTCACATTGGTATGTGGTCTTGTGCTTCACGATTGCATGGAGGATGTTGCAATCGCAATAGCATATTGAGCATCGTGATCGTGTGGCCTTGTGTCGCGATCGCGATGGTCAATTAATGAGTTGACCAGCATTACTCATCGCAATTGCGAGGTATCGGGTCGCGATTGCGAAGGGTAAAAGTGACTTGGATAGATTCTTCTTTCCAAAATCGGGGATTCATCCTCATTTCACCATTTTTGAACTTTGGAAGCTCGGTAAAGGCAATTCTAAACGGGCTTTTCGAGATTCTTCAATTGGGTAACGATTTTAAACTCCCCATCTTTATTACCCACTGTTTACTTCAAGATTTTATTACCCCATCAGTAGAGGCTATTTAATTCCTAATTTTGAAGTCAAACTTTTTGAGTTTTCTCAAGAATTTGGATTTTTAAGAAAATGGTGATTTGAGCTTGGTTTCCTATTCATTACAAGTATCTAGTCAGTCCACACAAATTTATATTTTTTTTATTCCCTTTTGGTGTATCTTTTTATTTTGGAAGTGAATTTTGTCCATGATTATACAGTCTGTGCACGTAGTCAGGGACGGATCTTCGTTGAAAAATTACTCCATATAGATAGGGAAAATGATTTTTTTTGCATATCTGTAAGTTGTTGAATCTGCTTGGCATAAAGACTTTTTTTTTTAATCCCCAGAATTGAAATCCTGGTTCCGCCACTACTGGTAGTTTACTAACCTTATGCCAAATTTTTTTCATTATTTAGATATTGGTTTTGACTCAGATACGAAAGAGAGGACTACATCTTCAGGGACAAAAATGCAGCCTTTACTGTCTGATTCTCCTTTCGGAGCCATTACTTGTAAGGCTGGTAACCGAATCTGTAGCAGTTTAACAGCAGAAAATCCTTTGACGGGCACCAGATTTTGTGATCTCTGTTGCAGTGAGCCTGGTTTTTGCAGAGACTGCTGTTGTATACTTTGCAGAAAGCTTATCACTTTGGACTATGATGGGTACAGTTACATCCGATGTGAAGCTACAGTAGTTGATGGCCACATATGTGGACATGTTTCCCATCTAGAGTGTGCTCTACGAGCTTACATGGCTGGGACAGTCGGAGGAAGCATCAATTTGGATGCAGAGTATCTCTGTCGATATTGTGATACAAGGACGGATTTGGTTCCACATGCTTTGAAGCTTTTAAACATTTGCACATCTGTTGCTTCTTATGCTGACATCGAAAAGATTTTGAATGTTGGCATTTGTATTTTGCGTGGCTCACAAAAAAGTAGTGCAAAAGAGTTGTTGCATCGTATTGAATCAATCAATGCAAAGGTATAGCTAATTGATTAATGGTACTTTGTTTCCTATGATGCTATCTTTTTTCCAGTTTTTAGGTTTACAGTTACAAGAATGACCAATTTGATAATCATATCAGCTTATGAAAGGAGTCAGCATTCAAGATGCATTCAAAAAGGAAAGCTGTGTGGATAGCACTGGTAACTTCTCTGCCTTGTCATAGTCTTGTTTGTGTTGACCTATCACTTTGACTTGAATATCTGTATTTGAGCAAGATGTTTATGTGCAAATGTGTTTATTTTGTTTTAAGTATTGTCTATTTCATGATACAAATATATACATCTGCGCATTGTAAGTTTTGTCTATTTCAGTGCTTCCTGTTGTCAACAAATACCAAAAACACTCGGTGCAAACTAAACTGCAATATGACCAGAAAATAAAATTGGAGAGCCTTGGAAAGAGTATGAAAGAGGAATTATTTGTTGCACAACTAGTGCATCAGTTAAATGCTATCCAACTGCTCCTTGGTCCTAACTAGATGAAGGAAATGAATAGCTTCCTTATTAAGAGTTTGGAACTTTGGTATAATCAGCATAAAGAGAAAGGAATGGATCACTCAAGGATCTCTTGTAGGGTGCTGTTTTGGTCAATTGCAGCAATAACATCTCCTAAAGAGTTCTGCCTAGCCCCTACAGCAATAGAATTGAATGTCACATCCATGATCTGTCTCACCACATTAGTCTGTGAAACCAAAGAGGATGGTGTGGGGTGAGGAGGTGAATCAAAATTATTTTCGAATGCTAGTCAAGTGTTATTTTCGAATGTTAGTCAAGTTATAATTGGTCGACTGTTGATTTCTTCA